ATCGTACTACTATAAATAATAAATTCACAACTACCAGTCAAACAGAAAGAATGCCAAATCCACATCTGTTTCAATTTTCACTTCTCTGTCAACTCGCTCCACCTGCTGAAAGCCACAGCAATATAACCTTATGGTGTTATTCCAACTGTATTAGTTTCCTTTCTTCCTTCTCTTCAAAACTCTCATGTCTCAATCTCGTTTTTCATGTAGCTGTCTCAGCTAACACTGGAATCAGTAGCTTGCTGGCCTGTGACCATGTCAAAAGAGCAGAAGCATGTTCACATATTGATCAACAGCCGTGAGCTGAATAATGTTATTTACTATAACTTTAATGGTCACTAGATGCTGGATCCAAGAAAAATCCTAAGGAAGAACATAATTCAAAAAAATAATTTCACCACACCAAGTCACAGCTTTTCTATATGTTATTGTGCAAATAAGTTTATTTTACTTATTGCACTAATGTCCTGCTGGCGACTTCTATTATGGTGCTACTAAAGCTAAAAAAGAAGTATGTTTAAACCACTGACTGTATATAAAACTGGACAACACGTCACTAGAAAGAAAAGCCAGACATGTGAATACAGCAGCTGCCATCTTGTCATTTTGCAACCAGATTCTAAGCAGTAGTGACTGAGTAGGTGAGTGACATATCAGACCGCCAATCAAAGGTGTCAAATCATCCAAAAAACTCCCCTTTTTTATATCATCAAATAACTTATTAAAAACAATGAGAAAAACAACCACTTGCACACACACACACATCGGCATGATAATATCTACCAAAAAAAACACAGAAAGCACCCCTGGGAAAACACCCACTAACACTGAGGAGGCTGGGTTTATGACATATACCGCAAGCAGCCACCAGGGGGCAACCGACTGCTGGGGGACGTCGCAGTGTCCAAATTTACATACAACCAATGTTTTAAACCAAGACTATGTAACTTTTTCTCAAAAGCAGGCTCTGTGGCTATACAAGTATCAAATGCTGAATAATCTCATCTGTTTGTAATTTTCCAGGATTCTCTTGAGTCAGTTGCGTGAGCTCAGACAAGTGTCTCCTGCTAATGTACGGTGAGTTCACTTTCGTTTCTTTTGTGATTAAACCATTAATATTTCATACAAGTAAAAAACATTTGTAACATTAGTACAAGTAGCGAAGTGTTTTGTTTGTAATGAAGTCAACCTTTCATTTATAAGAGGGTGGTTGTATAATTTCTTCATTTAAAACTTGCAGACTCAGTTTAACCCTCCACACAGCAGCACTGCTGTAGACACAGCTCTGCAGTATATCAGAGAGCTGGACACGGCTTTCGATCTTACCGTTCATGCATTTTAAATATGCATGTATTGTTGTGGAAAAGCACTTGACAGAAACAGATGCTTTTTGATGATGCGAAGTGCGAGGTAAACATACCCTTGCACCATCTCTCACTCCCACACACACGCAGTCACTCTTTGTCTCTCACAGACAGCCCAATGATCCACAAAACATTGTGACAGCCTAGTTCCACTCGTGCTGACAGCTCACAACACGCACACACAAGCAAAAATGTACACACAGCAATTAATACAGTGGGACTTCTTGACAGTGGGACTTATGGAGTCACTGCCAGTACATTATATATTGTATACTGTATGGTCACTCAGCTCGGACATTACCATGATTTCTATTTTCTAACACTTTCACAAAAAGCTGACACTTTTGCCTCCAGTTGAATTTCATTATTTTACACTACTGGTAAGCTAGGTCAGTAATAAGTAATAAAAATGTCAGCAATAAATAATAGGCCATTTCATTGGTAACAAAGGTTCCCTAGGTTTTATTATGTTGTTACTGTACAGCTTCCAATATTAGCGATGCACGTTACCTTCATAATTCAGACCCCTTCACTTTTTGTTGTAGCATAAATTTTAAATTGAAAAAAAAAACTGCCATGTTCTAAAAACATTGTTTTATAGATTTTTGCTAAATTATTAAAAATCAAAAACAGAAAATGATCATTTACAAAAATGTTCAGACCCTTAATTCAACAGTTTGCAAAAACCCCTTTGGCAGTAATTACAGTCTACTTGGGTGAGTCTCTGAAAGCTTTAAACACCTGGATCAGGGCAGTTTATCCTATTCTTCCAGGCAGATCCTCTCCAGCTATGTCAGAATCAATGGAAAGTGTCTGTGAACTGCCATCTTCAAGTTTCTCCCTGATATTTTATGTGGCTTAAGCCCACTCTAGCACAGTCTCAGACTTGTCCTGAAGCCACTCCGAGGTTGCTTGGCTGTGTGCATCAGGTCACTGCTGTGCTGCAAGTAGTCTCAGGTCACCGCACTCTGGAGCAGGTTTTCTTCAATGACCTCTCTGTATTTGGCTGCATTCATTCTTTCCTCCATGTGGACCATGCTCTCTGTCCCTCCTGCTGATGAAGCACCCCCACAGCATGATGCTGTCACCACCATGCTTTACTGTAGCAGCACCTGGTGTTCCTCGGACATAATGCTTGGAGTTTTTGCTTCATCAGGCTAAAAGAAATCTTTGTCCTGCTGCCCACAGAATCCTTTAAATGCTGTTTGGCAAACCCCAGGTGGCCTGTCCATTTAAAATTAAATCTACAGCACAATACAGTGGAAAACATGAGGGGTCTGAATAGTTTCTGAAAGAACTGCAGGTTTTTTTAAGCTGCATGTTTCTTTGAATGATAACAAAGCAATTTAAAATGATTACATGCCTTTACAAATAATGATTTTTTTACATCTTTTCCAGGCAACTGTCACTAGCAAATTGGAGACACTGCATTTGCCATTATCACTGCCAATCGATCTTGGCTCACAACAGAAACAGAGGAACATACTTGTTGCATCTCAGATCTGTGTGTGGGGTGTTGTTTTTACTGTAGCAGACTGTGGTTATGAAAAATTATTTTATCAAGATAAAAACTAATACATTTATAAAATAACCATCTAAAAGCCTGTTTTCTTTTGAGATACAATTCTTTGTTATCTGTCAGCATGCCGTTACATACTAGGAGCAGTGGGTCAGCAGTGCCATCTCAAGTTCCTGTGGGGGTACGCAGTAATATCAGCTGCTTAATAACAAGCCTTTTACAAACTTTGTAACAAGGCAGCAGAACAAAACACAACACAGAAATCTACTGATCTAATTCTGCAAACCACTGATCTGATTTATGCTGAAACACAGTGCAGAGAGTCTCATTACACTGAGTATTTCCTCTTTTCATTTAAAAACTACAGACCAAGACACCAAGAATTTGTGTATTTCTGCCAGCACAGTGAGAATAAAGCTACTAGGGCCATATAAAACTGTAAGAAACAGTGAGCCACTGTCTCTGCGCTTTACTACTGCACCTCTAGAAGTGTATAATAGAGGATATGAAGACATGTTCCACTTACATCAACTGTTAAACTTTACATCCCATTGCTTCAATATCTCAGTTGCCCTCAGTACTGCATTTATTCAGGGGCCATTAAATCTACAATTCCAGTTCAGTGTCAAGTTCTGAAGAAATGTCTGAAGTGGGCAGCAGTGGTGGAAGAAGTACTCAGATCCCTTAATTTACAATACCACAGTCTAAAAATACTCTGTTACAAGTCCTGCATTCAAAATGGTACTTAAGTAACAGTACAAAATATTGGCATCAAAACATACTTAAAGTACTAAAAGTAACTCATTATACTATTTTGACCCTCGCCACACTGCACTGGAAAGTGACATCATCCGGCAAAGGCACTGCTTTGACCAATCATGTACAAGGTCTGATCAGGACGTGGACACCCACAAGAAGAAATCTCTTTTGTCTGCCTTGTTAGCGTGAGCATTCACTGTCAGGTTTGTGGCACAATTAATGCACCATGACATGCCATGCACTTCCATTAGTACTGGTTTGAGGCACAATTAATGCACCACGACATGCCATGCACTTCCATTAGTACTGAACGTTTAATGGTGTTTTATCTATCAATGCAGACACACTGGTGGTAGAATTGGTGCTAAAGTAGAGTAGCACCAATGGTTAGCACCGTGGCTAACCAAAACACAATGGAAACGTGAATGAAGCTCGTCATAACGTGGTTGTATGGTACACACCTACAATACTCCTACAATACTCCCCCTGCAACCCCTCACACCCCAAAACAACACAGTCCTGTGCCGGAACATATGTGAACGTACGTCACTTTTCCATCACACTCCGCTCTGGTTCTGTTATGTACTGATATCTGTTATGTTTTAATATCGAGAGGCTTTGTGGCACAAGATCTCGTCACATCCCTAGCTTATATGCTAATAAGTTGAAGTGCTTAGCTTCAGCTTGTGAATTTTCCACCAGAGACCAATAAAGTCTGATGATTGTACTGTAATTTTTGTATCAGTCTGGTTCTGAAAAGTAACTAGTAACTAAAGTTATAAAATAAATTTAGTGAAGTAAAAAGTACAGTGTTCGTCTCTAAAATGTAGTGAAGTCAATGTATGAAGTAGCACAAAATGAAAAGTACCAATACCTCAAAATTGTACTTGAGTAAAAGTACATAGCTACTTTCCACCACTGCTGGATAGTAAAGTCTAAAACATGGAATTGAGCTCCTGAGAATCCCCCATGCTGTTTGATTAGGCCAGTTTCCTCTCTTTGCTTCTCCTAAGCACATGATGGCGTTACCTCCCAGTCCTATAACCTGTACAACGGTATGAAAAACACCAGTTATACTAATCTGAATCCACATAAGTAAAAAAAAAAAAAAACACAAACAGAATGAACCCCTTCAAGTCTTCACATACAGTGATAGAGATATAAATAAAGTAAAGTAAGTAAATAAAAACTGGGGCAACTCATCAGCTCAAAATTAGCACCACTACCCCAGAGAGACTCATTATCCTGTGAGCAGACAACTCCCTCTGGTGGCTCAATATTGCACCTGACAAACAGATGCACAGTATACACACAGACACACATGCACTCAATATGGCTCTGCTTGTGTGTATACTAACCAAGGAGGAGTGAAGTCTCAGTGTGGTAATATCCATCTTGTTGCTTCTTTTTCAACATGGAGCAAAGATCCACCCGCTCCACTGTCTGTTCTCCAAAACACCTGAATATTGCAGTGAGAGAATTAAAGCAGGTATCAGAAAGTGTAGTGACAGAGAAGACAATGTAAATTCCTACATCTCTTATTAGAGGATTATAGCCGATGACCACTCAAATCAAAAGTGACAACCTAATTTAGTTCCATGGTTGAACACACTTGGCCAATGTGTCTATTTTCAACTATTGATTGATTGATTTTACTAATGCACACTTTAGGTTCAAAGAAAATTAGACTTGTAGGACAACTATAGAAATCCAGTGAGTCACAAAACTGTCAAGACTTTGTGAAAACAGCATAGCAGCTTTTTCACGTCACTACATATTGCCTAATTGTTGTGGTACATGTAGTAAGTATGCAGTATAGGCACAAAGCAATCTATAATGTCCCACTGCACCTATTGCAGAGTACTGACACAATGTGTCTATTTTCAACTATAAAACTGTTGTTCTAATAAAACTAATGCACACTTTAGGTTCAAAGAAAATTAGACTTGTAGGACAACTATAGAAATCCAGTGAGTCACAAAACTGTCAAGACTTTGTGAAAACAGCATAGCAGCTTTTTCACGTCACTACACGTTCACCCACTGCACCTATTGCAGAGTACTGACTAGGAGTGGAACAGCTCAAGTAAAAAATTCGACTTGTTTGGTTCACTAGTCATTTATTTAAGATCTAGGCTGATTGTGTGAGGGACATCAAAATATGGCTGGCTTTAAATTTATTACATCTTAACGTTCACCCACTGCACCTATTGCAGAGTACTGACTAGGAGTGGAACAGCTCAAGTAAAAAATTCGACTTGTTTGGTTCACTAGTCATTTATTTAAGATCTAGGCTGATTGTGTGAGGGACATCAAAATATGGCTGGCTTTAAATTTATTACATCTTAATGAAAATAAAACACAGCGTGTGTTGTTTGGTAATTCAGGTTCAGCAACCTTGAGCTTGATTTTGGACGCTGGCACTGAAACCCATGGTAAAAAATTTGGGGTTGTTATTTGATACTGATATGAAATTTGATAAACAGATCAGTTCAGTGGTGAAGACGAGCTTTTTTCAGTTAGGATTGTTTAGTAAAGTCAAGTTGTTTCTTTTATTTACTGATTCTGAAACGGCAAACCATGCTTCCATCAGCTCTACACTATTGCAATGCACTGTGCTCCGGATTTAATCAGGCTTTCCTTTCACGTCTCCAATTGTTTCAAAACGCGGCTGCTCATCTGCTGATAAGTACTCGTAAGCATGACCCCCGTTCTGGCTTCTCTCCACTTGCTTCCAACTCATTTTAGAATTGATTTTAAGTAGCTGTGATTTGTTTTTAAAGCACTTAATAGATTGGCCCCTTCTTACCTCAGTGAACTTTTGCAGTGGCACAAGCCACTTAGATCCCTTAGGTCCTCAAATCAGTTTCTTTTAGACATACCAAGGGCAAGATACAAGCACTGGGGTAAGTGCACTTTTGCTGTAATGGCCCCAAAACTGTAGAACAGTTTACCTGTTAATATCGAAACTGCAATGGATCTGCTGGTCTTTAAGTTGATGTCTCCTCTTCGGATGTTTTATTGTCTGTGCCTCTTGCTCTTTATTTTATTTTATTTTTATGTAGCCTATGTGAAGTACTTTGGTCAAGTTCTTGTTTTTAAAGTGATATATACAAATTTTTTTGACTGAAGTAGGTTGAGACCAATAATCCAATGAAACTTAGTTGGCATGGATGATTGTCGAGTGCAGCTGTCAGTCAGTCCTGAAAATGGTGAGAGGATCTGTCATCATCGTTTCGGTCTGCTACAGATTTACTGGAAATTCACGCTAAACTTAAGATGTCATATCCTCAGAACAGTTGTCCATCTGTCAGCAGGACAGCAGCTGGACAAACAGTCTTCAGCTAAAATGTAGTTTCATTAGGAAGAAATCAAAATGTTTTTATGAATGAATCTATGAACTGTATTGATTTTCCCCTGCTAGCTACAGAGTGAAGCTTGACACTAATAAGAAGTCTGCAGCAGAAAATAACTGAGGATTTGAGTAATTTAAACAGCTGTCTCTGGAGATTACCCTTTGCTAAATGTGCCAGATGGAGAAAAAACCTTAAGTTTAAAAAACATGGGGTGTCCAGGGGTGACACACTCGTTGTCAATTGACACACTAGATAAAACGGAAATTCTTATGTGACATAAGAAAACGCATCTAAAGTGGTGGATAAATTGACACTACCTCACTGTCCTGGGTACATCTGTGCTGGGAGACAGTTTCCTCAAGTGAAGCTCGTCATCACTAGAGTGTGAACAAAATTATCTTACAGAATGAACAGACTGGCGTTGGGTTTTGAAAGAATGTACAGTGTGTGTTTGGTTTATGCTGCACTTTATGTTGACATTGAAGAAGTGCCTAGGTTCCTTATGCTTGTAGCCAGAGATTTAAGGCAAATGTTTAACTTTTTTGCCAAATAAATAAAAAAAATAAATTTGGCAATGCTTACCAAAAATGTGCCAAACGGAACCAAAAAAACTGGACCACAGAACTTTGAATTTTGCGAACTGTTCCACCCTTAGTACTGACCCTAAAGCACACTTGGTAAATGTTGCCCAAATACTTGACTTACTATATGAAAAACCAAGCACATACTTGTTTGTAAAGTTGGAGTAGAGGGCTGAGTCCACACGCTTGATACCCTGAGAGAGACAATGCAAAATGCTGTTTATCTCATATTTAACACACGTTTTAGGACACACACATTAAGAGAATAAACACACATGCATGCACACACACAGACTGGGGGCAGACAAGAATGCCAGCTGAGAGGCGCCAGGCAGAATAAAATGTCATCAGGTGTCAAAGGGAAACCAAGATAGATGCTGTCCTTCCTCTGTGCCTCCACTGATGACCGCTGTTCATCTTTGTGTCCTCTCCACCCTTCACCCCATCTCCCCTCATATCTTTATCTATTTCATACCAATTCCTTGAAGCACTACACCATTTCCTCTGTCCCTACCTCACATAATATACAGTGAGGAACAGAAGTATTTGAACACCCTGCGATTTTGCAAGTTCTCCCACTTAGAAATCATGGAGGGGTCTGAAATTCACATTGTAGGTGCATTCCCACTCTGAGAGACAGAATTAAAAAAAAAATTCAGGAAATCACATTGTATGATTTTTAAAGAATTTATTTGTCTTGCACTGCTGAACATAAGTATTTGAACACCTGAGAAACAGCAAGAATTCTGGCTCTCAAAGACCTGTTACTGTGCCTTGAAAAAGTCCACCTCTACTCCACTCATTAATCTAAATTAGTAGCACCTGTCTGAACTCTCTGAATGTATCCCAACATAATAACTGGCTCTTAACCTGACATCACATACTTTCAAATTATGTACTCACAACTTCCTTCTAAAACACTGCAGCAGGCGTGTTATTCCCACTAGCTGGAACAATAATTTGGCTTCTACAGTAGCTAGCAGAGGACACGTTATAGTCACCGAGAGGTGAGGGGGAATAAAATACATGGCTGGAGACACAGGAGTAACACTGCAGATGTTTGACAGTCCTGTCAAATTCACCTGTTACAAGAAAGCAAGCAAATTTGGGCCTGTGTATGAAAATATAAAAATACATTATATATGCAAATGTTTCATCAAGGAACAACTTTGTAACAATTCTGGCATAACTGGAGCAAGGGACACTACTGAGACGTTTCTGTTAAAGCCAAAATGTTGTGCCAGTGTAGCCTTATGTAACTACAACAGCTGGAGAGCAAAATATATATAATTTATGTGATGACTTGGTTCAGTTAAATATACTAAATGAGCAATTTTCACATATGTGTATGTTCATGTACACAGAATCATCCTCAGATTAATGACCTGACTCTACCCAAGATTTGTGTGCATACCTGAGATCGTAGTTTTGATGCTCTGGACAGCTTCATAATGGTCAGGTGGGGTTCAAACCCACGACTGTCTTCTTGCAGAAGACCCTGCTTTTCAAAACAGTCCCGCAACAACTCTGCAACACAGTTTTAAACACACCAAAATGTATATAAGCAGGAGACGCACTGATAAGGGCAAACAGGAAAGCTGTACGCTGACATAATGCAAACTTGCGTCAGATAAAGAAAGAAGGGATGTGAACGAGGACATAAACTAGGTTCAAACCCACAACATCTTGAGCATGCTGTACATCCAGCTCTACTTCTCAAATACCCTTTATGGGCTTCTGTAAAAGCCATAATGGAAGACGCAAATAGTTACAACACAAATGGAAGAGAACGTGTGTCAGAGAAAGGAAAAAGGCTTTTTGCTCACATACAATTTGACCACACAGATAAAGACCTAAACAGGGGCATAAACACAATGACACCCTGCAAGGACAGACACGCACACGGACAATGACGCACACATTTAGAGGGAAACCACAGAGGTATTTTTAGAAGAAGAGTGCTACAGGAAGAGAAAGGTTAGTGTATAATCAATAACAGTGGTGGAGACAGCAGACAAGAGGACTGGAGAATCCAACTTCCTGCCTTATGCTCTACTTTTCCAGCAACAACAAGGTATGCTGTTTCTGTTTGTGATTCTTTTCTTGATGCCGTTTCATTTTTCATGTAGGACATGTAAATAAAAATTACACAGCACCACTCTTTTTTTTATTCTTTGTTGAAATCTAGCTTGTGTAAATGGTCCTACAGGAGCATCAGTTCACATGGCATCACATCATACAGGTGTTCAGACTATACAAAACTGCTGTTTTCACTGTTTCGACCCGTTTCAATAACCAGATGGAAGACTGACTACTCAAGCAAAACTGCTTCTATTCAGACTTTCTCAACATAGTTCACACTTGCTGCAGCACACATTTAGTCACCCAAGAGTTAGGGTTAGTGGTGTTTGACTGGGCCAGTTCTGGAAGGTCTGCATTTTAACTCTGCCAAGAGGCACATGGTGTTTAGTGGGACCATGCAAATTCAATTAGAGAGTAAAAATTCCATGTCTTTAGTTGAGAGGACAATCATTGCTTCTTTACCAGATTACCAGTGAAAACATTTCCAGGCAATTTCAACTGACCCTTTAACAGACGCAGACACACTTTCAAACTCTGATAGCTGAGGTAATTATGGAGAAACGTGGCCCTCCTAGCCCTATCTGTCTAAAAGATTAATTTACTGCCTTTCCCATTTTATATCAAGCCCCAAGATGAAACGTCTTTTGGGATTTTCCTCGGGTTGGCACTCACTAATATGCCAGAGGTAGTATTTGCTTGGATCTGAGCAGTTAATACACTGGATGGGCAAATACAAAATCTACGCTAAAGAAGAATCCAAACATGCTGTTCCAATACTGTAATTTCAGACAATTTAATACATATTTATGAACATCTTCAGTGATTCCAGAACTACAAACAAAGAACTAACACCTTGTGGACCACATACAAATTAATTCATTGATTAATTAAGTCCATCATTTTCTGTTGTGTAACTGTACCCAGATGTGCGAGTCTCCTTTTTGGAATCACTCCATATTTACAATCCAGCTGATAGAAATGGACAGAATTAAGCAAATGTGAGCTCCTTTACTGTGTGTGTGTGTTGTAATCGCGGGATCAACAGAGTCAGAATCCTCTTAGAAATGTTGGCTCCATGTTGTTGCCAAAGGCACAACACTAAAAATGCATGCGAATGCTTTTGCATACATTCCTACACAAGTATAATATGAAAGAGCACAGATGTAGACATAACACAAAGACAGGAACATACATATACAGGTGAAGTAGGAAAAAAAAAAGGGGGGGGCACACAACCGCTGCATTATTTGAACAAAGCTACTTATGCTGGTTTAAGAAATAGGATGTGGCTACACACACGTACACACACTTACACTAGTGCTTATTGCTGTTGCCCAGGTCACTCCAAGAAAAAGTCAGCCTTAAGTCACCTATGAACTCTGCACCAATATCAAGCCCCAGAATATATCAAATGAATCGATCAACAAATATAAAAATCTCCAAAAGCACTTTATTCTGCAACCTCCCATTACAAATCATCCACAACAGCACGCAGTCACCCTGTCAAAGTGCCCTTTAGAAAGACAGCAAATCCTTCAACCAGCTGCTGGGCTCCTCAGCTGTCCCCGAGTTCAGACATCCCAACAAAAGGACACAAATACACAAGCACTGTATCACAGTGATATTCAATAACATGATTTATCCTCCAGTTAAATACAGCATGAAGACCACTTGCAAAACAAAATGTAGTTCACTCTTTACAGCCTGAATAAGCTTTGTCACTGACCTGCCAGGCTGTCCAGTGTGTGTCTGTGTTGTCCGGGGGCCAGCTCAACAAACACCACCTCCTTCCTGAAATGACCGATGCCTGAGAAGGGCAGAACCAGATCCTGCCCATCCAGCAGCTCAGCCAATGAAGGCTCAGCCTGAGCCAGCACAGATGCCGCCCTAAAAGGAAATACATACACACAACATGCATAGCAGCTCCTTCTCATATTATGTAACGACAGAATCTAGTGATTACTAATGACACAATTTTCTACTTGATGTACAGTAGATTAAGCATCAGTGTTATCACATAACATGGCTCCGTCATTTCCAGCACACTCTTATGAAATGTGAGCCCTCACTCTGAAATATTCATTTTTCTACATCACATATGAGCAGCGTGGGTGTTATTTCAATTTGCCTAAAACTATGTACAGTTTCATTAGCAATGTGCGAGTTAGAAAGGCCATTTTATCATAACAAATATAATCTGACAATGTAGTGATACAGTAACAGAGTAGAATGAAATTTATGTCAGAATAATCAGGTTTATTCTGTCATATTCTGATTATTAACTACAAAAAGCCTCAGTCTAAAAATATTCCAGTATTTTCAAGAGCATTTTTAAGGCTTATTGGAATCTAACCTACAAATTCGTAATTTATCTACCAGTTTTCCAACACGTTCTGAGAGGACGAAATAAGAGAGAAGTGGCTTCCTGCTTGTGTGAGGACAGGGCTGCTGCTTCCTGTGGTAAACGTACTCACGTCCTGTTTACTGTGTCTGCGCCATGTTGTGTTTGTTACCAGTTTGTTTATGGATTGAACTCGCTAATGTCTAGGTTTTAATTTTTTGACATACGCCTGCACTACTTAAGCACTTGTGTTACAGACGTTCTGGCTAATTACCAAATTTAACTTGCTACTTTATGTAAGATAGATTAGAAGCTAGCTAAACTAGCAGCTTAGTTGAGAGCAATGGCTCCCCCGTCCTCTCCTTCTTTCTCGGAGTGTCACAAGTTCAGTTATTCCTTTGCCTCCTTTAGCAGTAATGGTACTTCTAATAAATGTCAGATGCTAGCAGCATTGGAGGCGAAGCTCACCGATCTGGAAGCGCGGCTTGGCACCATAGAAAATAGCCCAGCTAGCCGGTGCAGGGCCTCCTAGATGTAGTTCAGCCCAACATAGCCGCCCCCCACAGCTTCCCGAGCATCCGGGATCTCAGCCAGCTGGCTGGGTGACAGTTCGCAGGAGTCGTAGCTCGAAACATGCCCACGGTACATCAACCTGCCTGTTCACGTTTCAAATCGATTTCCCCACTGGCTGAGAAAACAACTCTGGTAAATGGCGACTCCATAGTTAGAAACGTAAAGCTAGAGACACCTGCGGCCATGGCCTAATGTGTTCCTGGGGCCAGAGCGGGTGCAGCTCAGGGCTGTGTGTCTGTGCATGTACATCGAACAGCAGATCAGCATTCATCTGATTCTTAAAGACATCAATAATGAAATATAAATTTATATTGTGATACCGTCTTTTGCAATGATACTGGCACCAATAATAGCATTTGTTCTATTTGGACATTTAAATCCAGAACTGTACTAATTGCTGGTAGCCTGACTTTAACCAGTTAATAAGCAGTTTGACATTTAGGTAATGACTCTTCAATAGTGCTTGTGCAATGTATACAATATGGATCCAGTTCAGTGCAATCTGGTAGTACACACTGTTTCATCTCAGCTACCCTGAAAAATCAGTCAAACTGAAAGCTCCTCATAATGCATTACAATGAACTTACAGTTTCACAGATCTGGTCTCTGAAAATAGATTATTTAATTAACTGTGGGATGCATCTTCCTCTTCACACAGATACTGTTACATATTGAAAATAACGGTGCTGTAATGCCATTGTTTTCATGTGTACAATATTCTGAACATACATGTATATCAAGATCTGGTTAGTCATTTGCAGATCTACTGACCTTTTTCCACTACAGATATTTTAATATATCACAACAGGAAAAGCACAGGTGCAATTCATAACTTCTGCATTGGCTGAATTAATCTTAGCTGAACCAATTCCATGGTCCTGGTACTGTCACCATACATCAATGGGAAGGACCCATTATTAATGTTAATCATAACATCTACTTTTTCATTTCCAGAGTCACTGAATGTAATACATTCATTTTCAGTGCTTTGTCCAAAAATGTTGAAACTAACAAGCACTGAGTTATTCATGTTATGCATTTGTCCTGCTTGTGTTTAATTAAGTAGAACAGTAAGTACAGAGCACATTTTAAAGGAGTGGTATTGAGCCAACTGGGGACTGACATATGGATAAATATACAGTATTATGTGTCTGTATGTTGGTGTGTGCATCCACTCACAGATCTACTTGCTCCTGACTGGCCAGATGAGTGACTAATAGTGTGATGTGGAGAGTCGGGATGGGGATCATGGCTCTGGCCAATCGAGGCTCCCGCTGAAGCCCCACCTCCTGGACCCC